TTTCATGATAGCAGCCATTCTTTCTGGAGTGAAGTGGAATCTCAGTGTTGTTTTCATTTGCATCTCTCAAATGATCAGTGATGTTGAACATTTTTTCATGTATACTTTTGAAAGCATGGTATTCTATGTATGGCTCTATCATAATACCTGTCATACTAAGTAAAAATGAAATGAGCTAAATGTAAACAGTGTATTTCTCTCAAGGTGGTATAAAACCCACCCAAGAATGATATTTTATCTAATTAATCTATTTCTTAGAGAAACTGAGATAAAAGAAAAAGCTTCTCTTGCAGTTGAAAGTAAATTCACCTGCTTTACCATACACCAAAGTAGTTTCTGATTCAGGACTGTGAATGTACTACATGCAGTATTCTACTTATAATAAAGTGAGATACTTTAGGAGGCACATGAACTATATGAGAAACCAGAGTAACAAAATTAACACTTGTATTGCAAATTTTCCCACTACAGACCCTTCTATGTGAAAATAAATCTCAAAATAAACTTCTAGTCAGGTATAGTGGCATACACCAATAATCCTGCCACTCTGGGAAGTGAGGCAGGAAGACTGCAAGTGTGAGCCCAGGACAACCAACTTACTGAGACCCTGTCTAAGGATAAAAAATAAAAAAGGCCCGAGGATGTTGCTCAAGCAAAGGCTCTGAGTTCATTCTCAATTTAAAAAAGAAAGAAACAAACAAGAAAAAGAAAAGAAACTCTTTACCTGAATTATGATCCCCCTTTAAAAAGAAAAAGTAAGTGAATAAACTGAACTAATACAATGGTAAAAGGAGTTCAGATGAATTTGAATCATGAAAATGGAAAACAGTAAGGGAGATCATGATTAACACGGTCTAGAACAGGAGTTAGAACACCTTTTCTTCCAAGGACCAGATAACAAATATTTTAAACTTAGTGAGCCAAGAAGCAACTGATGATAATATTATCTATTTTGGAAGACTGTTATAAAGATGAGAAATTATAGAAAAAAATGCTTAGTCCTATGTCTGATTCCATCAAACTATTATTCTTACATTTTATGTCAGATTAAGCAAATAGTTTTGAAATAATTAGACAGACCATAAACATGTCAGATAATTTGCTCCCATACCTAGAAACAATTACAAATTTATTTAATATCTATAAGTTAATTATTTTTTGCTATTTGTAAGAACCAACTTGCTTTGAGAAGTTACTGTTTCATAGGTATACATGATGACATTTATTTAGGTGTAGCAAAAACTTTAGCTTTTCGAAGGCAGCTATGCTAACCACTATACCACCACCAATGCCTCTAACTTCAGTTTTTGTACTGAATTCAAAGATTTGTGAGATGACAAATGTAAACAGCTTCATTGAAGCTTTAAGAAAAAATTTACAACATTTCTTTCACATATATTTAAATCTACCTCTAACGTCTGTATTTAGTAATATAGTAAAATACAGAAAAAAGTTATCATAACAAAATATAGTATACCTAATTATAAACTGTCAGCACTGATGTATTCTTACATAATTTTCCACATGCAATATTAAAACATTAAAAAAAATATGTAAATTATGCTTATGGCAGTGTGGGGAACTATAGCTAATACTTGGATCCACCAATAGAAGTTTTGCTTGTTTGCCTTATTCACTAGGACTCAAGTCTCAATTTTTTATTTTTATCTGTAAAGACGATTTCTGGACAATGGAGATGATTTCTGGATTACAGAAAATAGCTGAGCATCCTGTAAACAATATTACAATTAGCTACACAATATGCTTAATAGTTCTTTTATGTGGGAGGACAGAATGATAAAATTTATAATATTTATGACATAAGAAATAGAATGAGAATTTTAGAGAACAGAATTTAATGTCCGGTTACATACCTTAGCAAATTATACAGTAAATGGCCAAAAACAAAATGTTCTAGGTTTTTTACTGATAATTTTCTAACACTTATTTTATTATCTCATACAAGTGTACTACATTTTTTTTTCTTTTTTTTTTTCCCCAAGGTACTGGGAATCAAACTCAGGACCTTGGGCTTGCCAGGCAGGTGCAGTGCCACTAAGCTCCATCCTTGACCCTTGTTTTAGGTTTTTTAGACTACAGAATTTCTATTACTACCACTGGAAATAGCCACAGACAATATGTAAATGAGTGAATATGGTTGTGTTCAAATAGAATTGCTATCATTGTTTCAAGATAAAGAAGCAAGCTTAAGAACTCACTTAACTTGCCCATGGCATATTTTATACATTAAGGCTAATGTGGGGGCCAGGCGCCTGCCTCACAAACGCAAGGTCCTGAGTTCAATTCCCGGTACCAAAAAAAACAAGGACTGATGATTGATTCATATTTTTTTCTTCAAAGTTATGCAACAGAAGTTAACTCTTTTTTGGGGGGTGTGGTTGAGACAAGATCTTGCTATGTAGTTTAGGCTGGTCTTGAAATCATAGTGATCCTCCCAAGTACTGGGATTATAGGTATGCACAACCACACCCATCTATAAACAACTTTAGACCACAGATATTTTCACAGGTTTCGGAAAGAAAATACATACACACACATACATAAAAATCATATATTTTTAGGGCCGGGGATTTAGCTCAGTGGTTTTGCTGCCTGCTGCACAAGCGCAAGGACCCAAGTTCGATCCCCCATACCAAAAAAACCAAAAGAAAACCATATATTTTAAGTATAATATTTAAAAAGTTACACAGAGTACAACATATATTAGAAACCATTTTTTTAGTCTTCATTCCATAATCCACAAAAAATATTTGTGGCTAGTAGTAAAGTGTATTCCTCCTTGTTGGCAAAATGAGGAAAAGATCTTAACAGTAATATTTATAGTCAGTTCCACAGATCATCTGATCTAATGTGCAGATTTCAAGAACAGTATAAAGTTTACAACAGAAGTGAACAAAGTGTTCCCTGGCTTAATACTTCTAATCACATAACACAGCATGCATTCTTTTTTATATTTTATTGGAAATTTGCACCTTTACATAATCTCTCTTGGTACATCATGCATTCTTTTTTTTTTTGGTACCAGGGATCAAACTCAGATCCTTGCGCTTGCGAGGTAGGTGGCAGAACCACTGAGCTAAATCCCTGGCCATGCATTCTTAACATTTAGCTAAATGTGATTTTATATAGGGAGAGCTACAGTTGATGAAGTTAGTTTAATTGAAGGAAATATTTAAATAATATACAACAGTTACACCTGTAAATTTAAGCATCTGTAACCTTAAGATGTTACCTAATTCTCACATTATTTGGGTTTTTTTTGGTACCGGGGATCGAACTCGGGTCCTTGGGCTTGTGCAGCAGGCAGCGAAACCACTGAGCTAAATCCCCAGCTCCTCTCACATTATTTTGAGAGAAAGTTTTTGACCAATTTTAGGTCCCACTAAATCAGTAAAAAAAATCTTTGAGACTTACACCTTTGCTTTGATTAGTCTGTATTTATTTTTAAAAAGAAAAGAAATTCTGGAATTCCTACCATCCTCAGTCCTTGGCTGCTGAGGGAACATGTAGTTAGTAAGCACCATTTTCTGAGTCTCTGAGTCACTTTCCTTTTGAAGAGGTATCAAGGGTTTGGACTAGGGAAAGAAAATAAATGTTTAATTTTCAACAATCCTAAAGCAAATACATATCCAGCAATTCCTCTGCATAACTATTCATCACTGTTTTCCTATAAATTATCAAGATGTAGTTGACAAAAACAAATTTAAATATGAACCATGGCATGTAAGCATTCAATTGGAACCATATGAAAATCAAAAAACTTTTGGTTTTTAGCATAAGGCAAATTCACTGTATTACAATTATCACTGAAATATCAATAGTTGAAAAGAGTTCATCATATACCAAGTATATCTATAATCCATGAAATTATTTATTACATAGCGATTTAATTTAGAGTTATAAAACATGACTTTCCAATTTATGTTATTTTGCCTTCTCTACTATTCCATTGTGCAAAGAACTTTTGGAAAAACATCATTTTGAAGGTTAAGTTTAGTTATCCATAGGTTCATGCTAGTTAGAAGCTAAAAAGAGTGTTAAAAACAACCATTAAGTTATTAACTGCTTCTCTCTCCTCCCCTCATGTCTCCATTACTGGCGCAAACAAATACTTTCGTGAAGCCTTCAGGTATTTTGGACTTTATTTTTTTTAAGACTTTTTTCCTTACTGGTTAATAAGTGTTACAAATTTACTTATTATAACTAATTATTTTTTCCAATCTTCTCATGTAAAGTCCCACCAATAAAAGCCTCTGTGGACTCCAGGCAAATAGAAAACTATCCAATTCTCCCCTCCTATACCACGCCAATTCTTTGGATGTACTCTTGTGAAAACCTAACAAATGGTTAATTCCTGTAACCTTACTCCTTAACTTTTAAACTGTGTACTCCTTTCTTGTTGTGCAATAAGCAAACTGCCCTACAACCTCAAAACTGACTTCCTCAGATAATGGAAGTGGTAATCTCTATTCCTTTCCCTAAGATTGTGCATACCTGAAGCCTCAAATACAGGCTGCTTATTCTCTCATACTGGATCTAACTTAGAAGATAGGGGAAGCACTTACGATGTTCTGAGATCATTACTCCTACATCCACAAATTTAAACTTCTATTCCTTTGAGGTATATAACTCTCGCCTCTATATTCAACCCCTGTTCTTACTAGCTGCTGACTTCCTGAAAGTATCCATCTATGATTCAGCATCCCGAATCCAAAAATCTTCAGTCTCATGGTCACAGTCAAAATGCACAAAATTATTAAAAATATTATATAAAATGACTACCAGGCTATGTGTAGAAGATATAAATGAAACATCAATGAATTCTAAGTTTAGACTTGGGTCCCCAAGGCATCTCATTATGCACTTGTAAAAATGCCAAAATTTGAAAAAAATTCAAAATCTGACATATTTCTGGTTCCAAGCATTTTAGATAAGAGAAACTCAACTTGTATTCCCACTTATTTTATCCAAAATCTTTCCAAAGTCATGGCTAATTCAACATACAATATGGAGCCAACATAGTTATATTCTTGGTCAAGTGGCTTCTTAGTGAATGAGGAATATGTGAGGAGGAAATAAAGTCCCCTTTAAATGGGAATATCAAAATTATCTGAGAGGTTTTTACAAATCAATTCCTCTAGAAAACACTCTAAAATTAACTGACAAAATCTCTGCAAAACTCTGAATATACTACAAGCCATACATTCTAATATGGGTGGATTATGGCATATGAACTATATATTTCAATAAGTGTTCTTAAAAAACTATTCACTTGTTATTTATGAGTATAAGGATACAAAAAGGAGTTAAGAATTATCTATGGAGACAGTTCCCTAAACACCTAATTCTATTGCTCATTATACCTATTTTAGATATTCCACTACTTTGCCATAATTCCAAGAATCTCTAAGTACTGTTTCTCTAAAATCTGAAATCGCTCATTTAACAACTGTTTACTCAGAGCATTTTATATTGAAGCACTGTAACAGGCACTGGGTATAGACGGGAAAGCAAATAAGTATTTTTACTGAGTTTGTAGAGTATATCAGAAGGATACAGGTAACAAAATACAGTATACAACTGCAAATATAGTGCAATTACAGGGCAGAAAAGATATAGGGTGCTAAGAGAACATACAGGGAGAGGATTTACATATTACTGTCTTAAATGATTAGGAAAAAATCCTAAAAAAAAGTGTGAGGTGAAGAAAAAAAATAAAGCAGGTAAAAGGCAAAGAATGTTTCAGGAGAGTAGAACTCTCCTGAGTGAAATGAGAATAAAGGTGTAATGGGTGGTAATGCAGCTACATGATGAACAGAGTCTTGAGGCATATGATATGACTTAAAAAATCGTGAAAAGATTTAAAATAGGTTAGTGCTGGGATTAGATTAAAAGATTACTTCAGTTACAGTGTAGTTCAGAATAGATTTGGGGTGATGAGGGTTTGGAAGTGTTAGCAACACTGTAGGTATAAACCTCTTAGAAAGCTATCTTAATAGTCTAAGTCAGCATCATCTACTAGTACTGTAACATGAGACAAACATGCAAATCATAGATAATTTATAATTTTCTACTTTTTGAAAAGGCAAAAGGATGAAATTGATTTTAATAATGCATTTAATTTAGCCCTACATAGTCAAATATAATTTTAACATGTTATCCAAAATAAAAATTATGAATGACAATTTATATTTTCTGTTCATATTAAAGCTATAAAATCCACTGTGTATTTATAACACATCTCAATTTGATTCAATTAAATGACACTAGCGGTTACTGTATTAGACAAGACAGATCTAAATGAAGGATGGTAGAGGACAGTACTTAAGAGAGGTGTAGTAAAGTGAAATAAACATGAGCTATTTAAGATTCATCAGGGTTTGGTGATAAACTGAACTAAAGTACAGGGGAAAACAGCAGTTAAATTACATTTCCACATCTGTGCCTCCATCAAGTGCTTTATACTGAGCTAGGTAACCCAGGAAAAGAAAATATTTGGGGCAGAAGATGGTATGCTCCAGTTTAAGCTGGTTGAATTATCTAGATGGCAACATTAAGAAGGCATTAGCTGTATGAAGTTTGGGTATAGGCACTGCACTAAGGATATTGTTAGACATAATAAGATATAGAAAGTAACTTGGAAGCAAAGTACCATAAAGAGCACTATTGTATAAGACACTGGGAAAAGAAATATGTCTCAAAAGCAGACTGAGAGGTAGTCAGTCAAAGGGAAAACCATCAGGGTATGGTAAGAGACATCATGTACCTCTCCCACATCACCGTCTCTGTTAACACTTGCTGATCACCCTGACCAAGACTGGTAATCCCTTGACCTTTCAACATTCTCTCCATCATTTGGCTCCTGTCTTTGCTTCCCTTTCACTACACAGTATCTCATTTCAACCACTTTCTCATCAGTAAGTAAGATCTCCTGTGTTGTCCTTTTCTTGCACCTGACTTGGCAAAGACCCAGTACAGATCGTCTGAACTGTGTGCTTTCTCTTTATCACACAGCTAAGCAAATTAGTAACACTACAAGTTTGTGCAATAGTAATTTATACTTCCGTGCTTGTGTAGTGGTATTAGCAGTACTTCCACAGGGTTCTTCTCAATGTTGCTTAGAAATCCTTCTGCATTTCCTAAATTGTATTCCAAAGAAACTATCTTCTTTAAAAATTCTAAGAAACAGAGGATTCAAGAAACAGCTACAGTTGAAGGTAATGAATGCTACACTGCAAGAGTATTACAATGTACATTACTTGTACTCCCTTTGACAAACTTCAGACCTAGGATCTCTTTCAAGAGGATAAGCTTGGTTTCATCATTCTAATTTCTGGCCTTTAGGATTTTCTCAAAATTGCTACCAAAGGCACCATTTCTTTCTTTCCAGAACTATTATCGGAAACCTGTCTGTCATAGCTTTTAACTGTATCAGCTGCCACCTCAGTTATACAAAACCTTATTCTCTATACATCCTCTAATAACTTATTGTAAATGTTAACTCCAATATTTAAAGATCTCTGCTTACCTTGTTCCCTAGCTACAAGATGTTCAACTATTTTTTTCTTCTCATCCAACCTTTTTTTTTTTGGTACTGGGGATCAAACTCAGGACCCTGCGCTTGTGAAGCAGGCAGCATAACCACTGAGCTCAATCCCCAGCCCCTCATCCAACCTTCCTAAAATAATCAACATTGTGTGGCTCCATTCTATCCTAACACTGCTTCACTCTGTTTTTTTATATATATATATATATACATATATATATACATATATATACATACATATATATACATATATATATATACACATACATACATACACACACATGCCTGTATAATTACGTAGTCCAATTTCAGTTGGCAAGTTAAGTTGCCAAATAATAATGAGTATTTTTCAGATTCTATTCGAACTGACTTTTCGACAACATTTATCCTATCATCTTCTTCCTTAAGTCAGTCATTTCATCTTTTTTGAAACCACTATCACACAGTTGTCCTTCAATTTTATGGCTACTCTCTTTAAGCCTGTAAATTTGCCTGCCACTTAAATATTAACATTTTTCCAAGATTCATCCATCTCTAGAATTTTTTTTTTTTCCAAGACAGGGTCTCAGGCTGGTCTTGAATTCACAGCAATCCTCCTGCCTAAGCCTCCCAAGTGCTGGGATTACTGAACATGGGCCACAATACCTGGCTCATTCCTAACATTTAAAAAATTGTTTCAGCACTTGGAATATAGCTCAGTAGTTGAATGCTTGCTTATTATGTGTGAAGTCTTGGGTCTGAACCCTAGTACCATAAAAAGTTCATGAATTCCTTTTTTGAGAAAATAATAAAGCTATAAAACTATTCCCAAGAAAGTTATTAACATAATGAGCTGAACACACACCAAAAAATGAGTTTTTATACCACAAAACTTTTTAAACATGGCAAAGAAATTTTAAAAATAAGCAAAAAGCATAAAGTCTATAATAGTAATGGAAAAAATGAAATGGCGCTTTCAGAAATAATTCTGAGAAATTCCTGAAGGTCAGAAATGAAAAAAATGGGAGAATCCAAAAGCAGAGAAATCACAGCTTGAAATAAAATCAGGGGGCTCATGGCCACCAGCCTATACATGTCCATTTGAGTTTTTTTTTATTTTTTGGGTACTGGGTATCAAACTTGGGACCTTGTGCTTATGAAGCAGGCAGCAGAACCACCAAGCTAAATCCCTGGCCCCTATTTGAGTATTTTGAAGTTACTTTTTAAAGTCAACATGTTTAACTAGGACTTAACATCTTCCCATAAGTGTATTTCTTTCTGTTGTGGTTCCTTTTCTTAGAGTAACACTACCTACCAAGTTACTCCAGACACACCTTGACATTCATCTAAGCTTTTACTTTCTTCTCATATATAAGCATTCTTTGTATGTTCTATTGAAGTATACCTGCTCTTCCTTATCCCTGTTTTAATTTTAGTTCAAGGCAATTTCTGGCAATGTCCTTTCAGTCTCCCCTAGCTTCATGATTGGCATCACATCCTGCTAAACCCATTTTCTACAATGACTTTCTAAAATATCAATCTGATCATATTATTCATTTGCCTGTTCAAATGTTAATAGTGGATCACATATCTTATCTATCAAAACAATCACTTCTTGCCACCACCTCGCAAGCTAAAGGTCCAGAGTTCGATCCCCAGTACCAAAAAAAAAAGAATCACTTCTTCCTCTTATATTCATGGCAGATAAAAATAAATAACCATGCCTAAAATAACCAAATACCAAATTTGCCTAGACAGACATATGTTACTTATGTGGCTCTGACATAATTATCAAGAAAGCTTTGCACTAGTCCCAAAGTATCTTACTATGAAGAACAAATAACAAGGTCACGCTAGCGATAACAATTTTCTCCTGTGCTTGAATATGGCCTTAGAATCCTCAATATAAATTTTTGGGAAACCTCTCATGATGGATGACAGTAGACAAGCCAGATCTTTAAAAAAATCTACTAGCCATCCTTCAAATCTAATACAAGTTCCTTTGGATGGATACAACATTCTCCATGATCTGGTTCTTTCCTCCATGGCCTCATTTTCTATCTTCTCATAGGTTATACTCTAGTCATACTCAATTACTTGTTGAGTCACCAAATATAGTGGGCTGTTTCACACCTAAATGATCATGCCTTATGATACTCTTTATAACCAGAACACTGTCCATTCTTGGTTTAAACGCTATTCTTTGTTTCGGAGGTAATTTAGGTATTGCAGGGACTTCTTTTGGGAAACTTGCTTTTAATCTCCTAAGTTAACTTTCCCATCTGTAACTCTAAAACTTACTCCTGTCACAATGTATTATAGTAACTTCCTAAATATCACTGTTTGCCTCACTTTACACTGGCTGGCACAATGCAATCATTGAATAATGGTTCTTGAGAGTCACATAATTAATGAGGGGATAAAGTAATAAACAATTGTTCTGCTCACACCTCTAGAGACTAATTAAATAGCAATTTACTTTAATAAATATTAAATAAAGCTATTTATTTTCAAAAATCATAATCAATCTACTCCCCATTTTATTTCTCCAACATAACTGTTGCTTCACATAATAAAGGAAATTTTCTTTCTACATCTGATACTGTTTAACTAAATATTTTGTCAAACTTTAAGGAACAAAGATGCCAGCTCAAAATTTTGAAACAATAGGTGGGAAATGGGGAGAAAATAAGAGAACAATAAATATAAAGAAAACTATAGTATGTACTTGGTAATTTCACCAAAATCAACAATTTGGCATAATTTTCTAGCATAAATTTATCCATAAAATTGCTATTACACTAATAAAAGTTGATCTGACACTAGAAGCTATGTCTCATTCATACTGCAGCGAGAATTTGGCATAAGACAGGGCCCAGCAGATGTTTTCTGAATCCAATTACAAAATTTCAAGTCAAGTTCCAAACTTAAAATATTCATTAATGAAAAATCAGGAAGAGTTCCTTCCACATGTAAGAGATGCAGTATTCAAGCTCTAACAAAAGAAAATGAATTATCATTCAAGGCTGTCTTTTCAAATTTACAAAGCAAATGTTACAGCCTGGCTTATAAACTTAGATTAACTTTAACTTAAGGATTTTTCAATGTTAATAAGAATTAAGGGTCCTCAAGTCAGAAAGTTTGGAGAAGCCTGAAATATCACACAGTAGGTTTCTTTATCATCTCAGGATTGGTAACATAATCCAAAAGTGGTGTGATATAGTTTCCCAGGCAATTCCAGCTATAGAATTTACAAGTATCAAATGAGATTAGTGTATACAAACCCTGGGAAAATAAAACTTTAGATAAATTATTATAAGGTATTGCTTAAAGTCAAATAGTAAGCCTTAACTTTTTAATTGAAAAGCTCAATAGATAACATATTTCAAGAACCCATGATAATGCTGGTAGGGATGTAAATTAGTAGTCATTATGGCAAACAGTATAGAGAGTCCTCAAAACAAAACTACTATATGACTCAGTGATCTCACTGCTGGATACATATCCAAAGGAAATTCAATCAGTATGTCAATAAGATATCTGCGCTATTACAATAGTTCACTACATTATTATTTACAATAGCCAAGATAAGAAATCAATTGAAGTGTTCATCAATGAATGAATGGGTAAAGAAAATGTAAAATATATACATAATAAAATACCATTCCACTTTAAAAAGAAGGAAATCCTGTCATTTGCAACAACATGGATAAACCTGCTGAGTGATATAAGCCAGACATAGATGACAAATATAACATCACTTACACATGGAATCAAAAACAGGAGAACTCACAGAAAAAAGTAAAATAGTGGTTATCAGGGATTGAGATGGAGAGTCAATTAGGAGATAGTGATTAAAGGATACAAAATTCCAATTAGAGAGGAGGAATAAATTTAAGAGCACTACTGAGTATCATGCTGACTACAACTGAAAACAACATATTGGGCTATGCACGGTGGTGAACACCTGTAATTCCAGCTACTCAGAAGGCTGACTCAAGGAGGACTGCAAGTCTGAGGCCAGCCTGGGCAATGTAGTGAGACCCAGTCTCCAAAAGAGAAAAAAGATGGGCTAGGAATGTCTGTAACTCTGGAATAGGGTACATCCCCAGCATACCCATGCCCTGTGTTTAATCCCAAGTCCAAAAGAAAAGCCCAAACCTCAATGAACTGTATTCTTAAAAACTGCTGAGAAAGGCCAGGTGTGAGGGCACACACCTGTGATTCCAGCACCTGGGAGGCTGAGGCAGGAGAACTGCTGTGAGTTCAAGGCCTTCCTGGGCTACATACTGAGTTCCAGGCCAGCCTGAACTACGTAATGAGACCCTGTCTCAAAAATCAAAACAAAACAAACAAAAAATTGCTGAGAGAGTATATTAGAGAATATTGCATCTGATTTCCTAAGGTCTCTATATTTTTATACGTTTAGAAAACAGGCAAGCTCTACATTTTTGTTAGAAAAATTATGCTTCTAAACACAAATGAAATTCTCATAATTTACAAAATCAGAATGCTCACCTGATTATCTGAGAGCCACATAGCAGTCAACTGTTGTAGCTTTGTAAAGCTAAATGGCAAATTCTTCAATCTGTAGGAAAAAAATACAAAGAAAAAATTAGACTTTAAAATGAGACTATTTAAAATGAATAAAATTTGGGGCTAGAGGTATAGCTCAGTGATAAAGATCATTCACTTAGCTTTTGGAGGCCCTGGGTTTAATTCCTAGCACTACAAAAATAAAATGAATGAAAACTAAATCCAATGGTCTTTTGAAATATGCTATGCAATGATATAGCAAATGGTATAAAAGAAGAAAAGAAAAGTCCCAATACAGGTCTTTGTACAGGACAGAAGACAAAATATTTAGTTTTTAAAATATTAACTCCTTAAATGAAACAATTTAACAAGCAAAAATTTGGATTATCTAATAACATCAAAAAATTATGTTAAAAAATAATAAATGTCCTTGCCCTACAGAAAAACAAGGACACATTAAACAGTCTCATAATCTGCTTTATTTGTATTTGGCATGAACAAATGTTACAGGAAGACTTTTATTAGAGATTGTTTGCTATAAAAGCTGCACTACACTGTATTTTCTGAGCCAGCACTTGCACAATCAATAAGGACTATTTTATGATAATAAAAAGTAATACAACTGCTTATTAGAATGCCAAGTTAAAACTGTACCCTAGTTTAAATAAATTGTCTAACTCGACCTTGCTATCTTAGACCTCGCTAACTACTCTTCTGTGCCAATCTTTAAAGGCAGTTTGTCAGTACTACTCTAGTACTCTAGTTTGAGAAGGTTGAAATACAGGCTGCAACAAGGTTTTAATAAGAAAGCAGTGGCTCTTTTTTTGGTGGGGGGGGTACTGGGGATCGAACTCAGGACCTTCCACTTGCAAGGCAGGCGGCAGAACCACTGAGCTAAATCCCCGGCCCAGTAGTGGCTCTTTTTAAGTAAAATGTAAGAGCCAGAATATTGTCAACTAGTCAAAAAACTAGGTTTCATTAAAGCTCTATCTTACGAGATATATGAGTCACCTTAAATATGAAAACTTTCTCCTACATAAAGTAGGAATACCTGTTGTACTATCTCATATAGTTGTTTTGAAAACCCTTTAAGATACTATGGGAACTCCATAAGATACACGATGTTTTATCATTCTCTTTAGCATTTTTACCCCTGGAAAAGGTATTTAGCAATCTCAAGTTTTTCTGAACTTTAGTTTGTGCATAAGTGAGCATAACTTTGCCAAAAAAAAAAAAAAAAAAGCAACAGATTAGATTCTAAAGCTGCTTTGTTCCATACTGTATTAAAGATCTAACATTAGAAATAAAAAAGGTTATTATAAGGAGAGAATAAAGGTGGCACACTAAGTTGACCAAAGATGAACAGTGACAACCACAGCAAAATAATTAACATCAGATAAATTAGATCATTCTATTTAAAAAACATCTTAAAATATATGAAAACACCATTAGCTGTTCTAAAACTTATCATATGAAACTTTAATTTTATTAAATCAATATTATCTACAACCAACAGTTGAATATAGTATTACAAACCTATTGTCACTTAAATTAATGACTTTTAATTTTTGCATATCACCCATTTCCTCTGGAAGTGTCTCGAGTTTATTAGAATGGAGAAAGAGCACAGTTACATTTTTCCAATTTCCAATCTGAAACAGAAACATAAATTAGGAATAAAAAATTTGGCCTACAGGTAAATAAACAGGAAAATAACATATTTAAAAGTTGTGAAAAATATTCTTTGACTTTATAAAGGAATAAGCTTATTCTTTTTAAATAATTTTCATGTACAAAAGAAGTATTTAGGTATATATTCTAAATTATATTACTCAGAAAACAAACAGTAAATCATTTAGAAAGAAAATAAAAGAAAATGACACTGGATAGCAATAAAGACAATTAGAAAAAGATGAAAAGATAAAAATCTGAAACAAACTTTAAATACTGTACCTCTCCGGGTAGTTGCTGTAAGTAATTATGATCTGCAGCAAAAGTTCTTATGTTAGTAAGCTGTCCAACAGATGAAGGCAAAGCTTCAATTTCATTGAAACTACAATCCAGTTCTTCTACTGATATTAACCTTTAATTATATAAGAACACGTATTATTAAAAGCAAGATTTCCTATATGTAATCAAAATTTAAGAACATATGAATATCTGAGCTTGTTATTAACAAGCCTAGTGAAACTTCATAAAACTAAATTTTACCAAAAGTAAATAGTATTTTTATGACAAAAATACCCACAGGATTATCAATTGTTTGTGAAATTTCCTTTAGATGCTATTTATGCACGTATCAGAAAAGCATACCAGACTAAAAGTAAAACTTTCAATGATCTATATATTTTCACAAAAAACTTACCCTCCTATAGAGTCTGGTAGATACATTAATTGATTTTCATCTATTTTAAGAGTTGTGACATTCTTCAATGAACCTATTGAGAATATACAATTTTTGAGCTCAAAGTAGAACCAAATCCAAACACAGTCAATATCACAGTCAATGTGAGATACATTACATGTAAGAATTAAAACTTTACCAATCAACCTTTCTCTAAGAGACATCATCTCCAAACCCATTCAACTCTGTTACCTCAGCTTACACTTTCAATTTCTCTCCTTATCACCTTTTAACAGTGTCTGTCTGTTTTTATTAACCCTCACTAAAATACAAGCTTCATTAAGAAAAGGGACTTTCTGTCTGCATTGTCCACTGCTTCAGCCCTGCTCCTAAAAACAATCCCACAGTACAGACAGGAAACACAATACAATCTCAATGAATGAGAAGATTAAACAAATGGTAGGGTGAAGGCTATTGACAGCTGTATAACAAACTATGCTATGTATATAAATATTACAACAGTAAAATATTTTAATTCAAAAAGCAAACATGTTGATTAAATTAGAATGAAGTAGAATCCCAATGAATTTACAAAAGGTACCTTAAATCAACTATGTAAATCAACTGAGAAAATATGTAAAAATATTTTTTAGTTTTTATATTCAAGCCTCATAAAGATTACAAGATTTACTTAGTCATTTTATCCAAGAAATTACCTTGATATTTTATCAAAAAAGCAACTTGAAAAATACAGATTCAATAACTGTAAGTCTCTCATAGGATTTGTTCAAGTCTGTTTGCTTGTCTGTGAGTATATTATAAAGTGCAACTGAAAAAATTTACCAAATAAAGGCAATGGTTAAATATGGAAAACAATTAAAACTTCTTTTAAAGAATTTATTATACTTATAAAAAATTCATTTCTTGGGGCCAGGGATTGAGCTCAGTGGTTCTATCACCTGCCTCGCAAGCACAAGGTCCCGAGTTTGATACCCAGTACCAAAAAAAAAAAAAATTTTCCTTAGAGTAAATAAAAACATAGTAACACAGTTAGGCATGGTGGCACATGCCTATAATCCCAGAACTCTGGCAGTCTAACCTAGGAGGATCTCAAGTTTGAGCCTAGCCTTAGCAACTCAGGAAGAATTGGTCTCAAAATAAAATGTTTAAAAGGGCTAGGAATGTAGCCCAGTGCCTCTGGGTTCAATCATATGATTTAAAAAAGAAAAAAAAAATCACATATAGTAACATCAACAAAGAGTAAACAATATACCTGATTCACATTAGGAAAAATTCAAATAAGATTTGTGCTGTGGTAATACAGTAAAGCTGTCTTGCAACAAACACAATTTGAATTTATATGGAAGCCTTAAATTTACTTTAATAAAAATTATATAAATTTAAAAGTAATATTCAATCCCCGGTACCAAAAAAGTAAAAGAAAGTAATACAAACCAACAGTCTCAGGTAGTTGTTGAAGTGAGTTGCTTGATAAAAGGAGGTCTTGGAGGTTTTCACATGCTGAAATTCCTTCTTCAACCATTTCAATATTATTTTTAGAAACATCCAAATATGTGAGCTGTTTCAAACTACCAATAAACTGTAAGTTAAGAAAAATAATAATTATCAAGTAATTTGTGAAAAGTTTTAAGTAGCAAACTTAATACCAAGTTTTACATAATTAAATGGAAATATTTTCAGTAATAAAGCTAAGAATTCCTACTAATTTTAGTCCCGCAGAGTGACAAAGGTCATACATTTTTCTTTGGGAATTTAACTGTCCATCACCTTCTAGGGAAACAGAATATAAGGGGATTCTTGAGGTTCTTTAGATATGGGAATATATAATTTATCAGTTGATAAGACAGAAAGTTCACAAAAATTATCTTAGCTTGCTAGGCATGGTGGGGCACATTTGTAATCCCAGCACTCTGGGAGGCTAAGGCAGTAGGATTCCAAGTTCGAGCCCAGCCTGAGCAACTTAGCCAAATCCTACCCTTAAAAAATTAAAAGGGCTGGATGTGTAGCTCAGCGTGAAGGCCCAGGGTTCAATGGTAAGTACCAGAAGGAAAAGAAGAGAAGAGAGGAGGGGAGGGGAGGGGAGGGGAGGGGAGGGGAGTGAGAAAGAAATCATCCTAGTTTAACAATTCCCTAGGCAAAATAAATTAGGATACAAATTCAAAAGCTGTGACTGAAAAGGATACTACGGCATTAAAATAAGACTGACAAGGTTTGTTATGGGAATTTTCAGACTTTAATCAGTAAAGTGTAAACAGTTTAAAAAGTATTTTTCTACTTGTTTCTGTTTAAAAGGGAATTAAATAATCCTTTTTTTCCTGTGGACAGGGGCTCAATATGTAGAGTTGAGGCTGGTCTTAAACTCACTATGTATTCCAGGCTAGCCTCAAACTCATAGAGTTCTTCCTGCCTTACCCTTCTGAGAGCAGAGATTATAGGTGTGCACTACCACGTCTGGCAGTAATCCATTTTTTAACTAATTAAAATGCACAGTTCAACTACTTCAAAAGAAAGGCGGCAACAAGTAAAGTCATTTAGAATTTCATATACATACCCCTGGAATAAAAGTTAGTCTATTACCATCCATCCAAAATTCTTTCAATCCACTTAGCTGCTCAAGTACTTCAGGCTGATTGGATAGAAGGGAAAATCCAGTTAATTTATGTGAATGTCTTTGTCTGGCAAAAGTAGCTCTGAGAATTTCTAATGTTAATTTTTAGTTTCAAAACATTAAATGAAAGAGGAAAGGGGATGGTGGTGCAGAGGTAAGATGTGAGCCTTTCCACTGCTTTATAGTTACAATAAGTTTACTAGACAAGTAATTAAACATAGCCATTCCATAAAATGGATTAGACAAAACTCATTTAAGCTTTGGATTGTACAATACTATCAAGTATTTATACAATTAATATAGAACTCACTATTCCAAAGTATACAATAAAAAGAAATTTTCATTCATTATTAGTAAAAGATACACCCTTTCAGAAAATCGTAGAATTATAAAGATATTGCTTCCTGGTGACATTAATAAAAAAGAAGTAAAAACGGAACCTACATCCTAAGGCCAATAATAAGGGAAAAATAAATAAGCAAAGATATAACTAGATGACCATAACATTCAGTGACTTAAACTTCTAGTAACAATTCTAATAATTACCTAGTGGAAAATTTTTAGTAATATAGTATTGAAGAGCTAAGACTAATCCAAGTGTTTTTGTGGACCTTGGTATGCAGGTAAAATTTGCTTTTGGCCACTGGCCTTTTAAGGATGAAGATGTGAATGTCTCCTTTGAAAGATTAATGTTACTTTACAATGCCATGTGGAATCAACGACCATATGATGGCAAAGAGTACTAAAATATCTAATCACCATAACAACATGAATCATACAGACAAATCATGTCATTTAGATTTACTACTGTAAACATAATAATAGAGGTAAGAATTCCAGATATAACTAGGATCAAAAGAAATTTCCTTTTGTGCTTTGTCTTCTTGTAATTGTTAGTTTTAAAAACATATATAATGTTGAAAGACCAAAATGGTACAAAAATTGATGATTTTTGAAAGCTTGTGGATTCATAAAATAAACAATTACTGAGAATTTTCAGTTACTATGGAAACAGTATAAAACAACAAAGAAAGCCACAATAGAAAACTTAGGAACCACAATACATATTTTTTCATGAAAAGTAAAAATTCTGCAAGCACAGGGAAATACAACAGACACCATTTTCAGTTTAAACATCATAATGAAAAGGTATTTTAGAGAAAATCTAAGATATCTCAAAAGCACCAATGTCCTCCACTGACTGCAACTGAAATGCACAATTATCAATAATACAAGTCAATACTACAACAGAGAAATTCTTCTGTTTATCATTTGAAGCTACCACAATGTGAACAACAAAACTAAAATTTAAATTTGTAATTTAAAAACTTTTAATTTAAAATTCAAAATTCTGGCCAGACCTATAATCCCAGCACTGGGGGAGGCTGAGGCAGGAGGATTGTCACATATTTGAAACCAGCCTGGGCTACATAGTGAATTCAAGACCAGCCTAAACTACATAGTGAGACCCTGTCACAAAAACAAAAAAAATGATAATGATACTCAGCTTTGTGAATTCCTGTTTTAAAATCTAGCTTGAGTGGTTTAAAAAGAAAAATGAGTATAGACATCAAAAAATGCCCTGCACTCCCACTGCTCCTAGGACAGAGGAGGTGAGCCACATGGGCACCAGCAGCACCTCCCCCACCTTGGAAATGAGAAGACACGTAAACAAGCCTCAAAAAACAGACTTCCAGGTCACCTACAGCAACCCCAAAGGGAAACGAGATGGAACACTCTGATACTCAACCACCTGGACTCCCTGAACTGGCAACAAAAGA